GTGAGTGAGTGTGTGTGTGTGTGTGTTACACGAGGAGTAACAAATACAAAAAAAGGATGGGTGGTAAGAACGATAGATCTCGATGTTTTGTTTGATACGAGGCAAAAGAAAAAAACCACACCACAGCACCCGCCACCGCCAACCACCCATTTACGAAACTCGGAGCTTCAGTGTGCTCGAGATCAGGCTATGTCACTCAGAAAAAGGGAACTGGATTCCCCGCGGTGGTGTCATTTTAACGAATACCCCAGTTGGTCTGTTGGTATGCAAGACGGGGAGAAAACAGCCCGCCTCAGAACGGACCTAAATTATGTGGACTGGGGTGTCAAACATAGAAACAACCAAAGAGAAACACATCGACACCATATTGCCCGTTTAGTGAGGGAGAAAGCACGATCGGCAAACAACAGATAAGAAACAAGACCAACTAGTGGCACTTGGAGCCTTCCAACTACCCCCATTTATTATCAGCAGACCAGAGCCCAAAAAAGAAGCCAGGAGCACACAGACTCTATACAGTGTCTCTTTCGTTTAGTTTTTGTAGAGCTTTACGGCCCTTGCAACACAATACGGTCATATATAAGGGCCGAAGAATAGATTATGTGTTACAAGGGAGTAACACACACAAAAAACAAGGAGGGGAGATAAGGACGATAGATGTTTGATAGGAAAGAAGGAACAAACCACACCAGAGCACCCGCCAACCACCCACTATCGCTTTCTAGAACAACTTTACGAGAGGGAGGAGGGAAAGGCATAAAAACAAAGACGTGTATACATGTATTACGTCGCGTATAAACAAGTGTTTAGTATGGCATTCAATTTTATCCCCCCCCCCCCACAATTTTCCAAGATGAAGTAAAATAATATTTGATCGCTTTTAAGCACAAAGGGGTCATTCCCGAAAAATGCTGTTTTGAGAAAATCGATGGTAAAGTTTTTGCACAAACAAACATCTATTAGTACATTCTCTCTCAAACGGTAAAAATCATGTAGCTGTCCACCTGATCTACTTTTTGAGAGACTGATTCTCGCCGAGCTCGCTAGGCAACTCTTGAAAAACATGTAGCACAGAAACCGGCCATCAAGCCAGCCGAGGTTCTGAGCGTCAAGAGCTAGCCCAATCCCTTCCACTTCCACCCCCCATCCCCCACATACACACAACAAACCATCACCAGAACTAGCCTCTGATATGTTCGTACAATGTTCCCACAACTCATACAGGAGGACGCGCAAGCCTAATACATGATGTTTCCACATTCACCATGAAAAAAAAAAAGTAATGTTCTGGTATTTTGGTTTTGTTTTCTTTTGATGTTTGTTTGGGGTTGTGTGTGTGTGTGTGTGTGTGTGTGTGT